TGTCCATATATAGAAGATATGGCCTTATTATTTACCAAAGGAGTCTTAGGATTTGTAAAGACGAAAAACCGAAAAATCTCAAAAATAAAATGTTAAAATGAATGAAAAATATTTTTACCGTTTCATCCAAAAACTCATTTGCTCCCACATCAACACCGAATTATGACCACAATACGAAAAAGTCCTCTTTCGAATAGATTATAAACAAGGTAAATTTTTTTTTTGTTATTTTAGGGGTTATTTGGCCTCCGTCATGTTTTGCAATCAATTCATTCTAACCAAACGGATTTTTTTCTGTTTTGGCTCCTTTCCAATTGCGGCCAAATTTCGTGCCATGTGTGAACTGATGACTTTCATCGCATTTTTCAAATTCACAAATTTGTTTCCAATCAAATGTTATAATTACACTTTTAAACAAGTTTTTATTGCAGTGTTATCGCAGGGGAAATGTTTATTAGAGAACGAGTGCAGTGCAATAGATATAAGAATAGAAATTTAAAAAAATTAAATTTAAGAACACAAATTTAGAAAATTGAAGAGGAATCGTATTTTATGGCCTTTACTATCTGAAATGAACATAATAATAGGTATTTGATATTATGTGCAATAACTTTAAATTTTGTTAGGATTGATTTAAAATATTGCACTTCGACGAAGAAATAATACCCTCAAAAAAGTAAAGAAGAAAATGTTAACGTCGTCTACTAGAACAGACCATATTAATGTTCATCTCTAGATAAAAATCGGTTATCCGGTCCCATGAAGATCAAATATATTGAATACAACATATATTGTATGAACAGAAAACCTCTTACCCTCTTCAAGTTTTTTTTTTTTGGGTGCATGATCACCAATAAGTCTTCAACGGAAAAAAGGCCTCCAGAAAATCTTTTTAAAATGGGAAGAATACTGATCTTTAATGGAATGAAGACTTCAATAGTTATATGACATAATCATGATTCCTCTATACACGAATGACTTTATATGGATCTCCTTTTTTGAAGGCAATCTATGTGTAGAAATTATTTTATGGAACATATGTAATTAAATATAGAATGCCTATCTTACTTCATCTTTGGATAGAAAACCTTCTAAACTGCATACAAATACCTTTCACAAGTCATTCGTGGATGGAAGGCCTTTACCAGTTCAATTGAGGACATAGGACTCTCAATAGATCTTCTGTGGATAAAAATCTTCCACAAGTCTTCTTAAATAGAATATAACTTCTAGACAGAAAAAGCTTTTTAAATTGAAAAACCTCCTCAGATATTCTACTTATAGCAATTCTTCGAATCAATATTGTCCATTTCGTGTCGGATCTAAATAAATATGATATCAATATTGCGACATGCCAGCTTTGGACTATATTGGTTATTTCTTTCACTTTACCAGAATAAATCTCTACCATCTTTATAACGGATCTTGTCTTGACAAAAATATTGAGATGTACTAAGTCTGTATGAAATCGGATGTTAATTTTACGTTTCTTGAGCCTCATGGATAATTGAAATTTTTACCCTTTGAAGGGGAGGTACCAGAAGAAGTGGACCGATATATGTCATCTTCACAGCATATCTGGTGTTAGTTGAAACAATAGGATGTGTGAAATATGGAGAGAACTGGATGTTTGTTTCGGATTTTATAATTGGCTTTGATCCTTTGTGGGGGAGGTACCAGAAGGAATGGTCCGACCTCTACCACCTCTACAATAGATCTTTTGTTGATAGAAATATTGAGATGTGCCAAGTCTGAATGAAGTCGGAGATCAAATTCGCGTTTGAACACACAGTTGGATCAAAATCAGCTTATACATTCTCTGTGGAGGAGGTACCGGAAGGAGTGGACCTATATTGCCCATCTCCTCACTCGATCTGAGTTTGATAATAATATTACGATAAACCAAGTTTGGATCAAATCGAATACTCCCTTCGAGAGTTATGGTGTTCACCAGCCAGAATGTCAGCCAGACAGACAGATGGACGGCCGAACACCCCTCGATTCCCACCAAATGTCCTGAAACGGAATTGGTCCATAGGAACCTAGTGTCAAAAAATGTTATTTCGATAACTCACGTTTTGGCCGTATCAAATGATAGATTAACCTCTGTAGTCATATAGCTTAGGGTATAATAATATGAGATCTGTCTTGACTTTAACATATAAATTGATAGGCAGACGAACACAGCAAAATCGACTTAAAGTTTTCAGCTCATCAGAAATATATACTTTATGAAGCCGTAGGCAAATATATCAAAATGTTGGAAACTGAATAACAAATTTAGGGAACTCTAAGCTAGGTACCGTTAAATTGTCTTTTTATACCCCCCGACCATGTATTGAGGGTACATTAAATTTGTCATTCCGCTTGTGAGACCTCGAAATATACATTCCAGAGCCCAGAAAGTGTATATGTTCTTGTTCATCATAAAATTCTATGTCGATTTAGAGATTTCCCTGCGTCTGTCTGTCCGTCTGTACAAATCACTCTAGCTTTCGAACGAAATGAAGTAGAAGTAATAGTAAAGTTTTACTTTCGGTATTGAAAATGGGCCATATAGGTCCACGTTATAACTGTACCTCCCTATATTCGGCATTTTGATGATTTTAGCGACATTAATCACCATAATTGTTTCAAAATTTGGTAATGAAAGTTCCTTATGGCCACTACAGTCTATGACAGAAAATTGTGTATGCAGGTACATCTTCGTATGGCCCCCATATAGCTGTACTCCCCTATAGTCGGCATTCACCGGAATTGTCTTAAATTTCGTATTTGGAGGTCCGAATGGGTATTACAGCCCATGACAAAAAATTGAGTATGTATGTCCCTGTCTTCGTGTGGCCCCCATATAACCTGTATTTGATATTATGATGATTTTAGCGACGTTTTTTTTTCGAAATGTCTTCGTATAGACCCCAAACATAGTGGTAAGGGTATTATGTCTTTGTGAACTTGTTTGTAACATTGCGAAGAACGCGAGACAAACCCATACGGGTTGAGATAAAAAACTGGAATAAAAGTCAAACGCCATATTTTTCACATTTTTCTTTAAATTTTATTGATCAAATATCAAAATTTAGAATACGTTTAGATTTGTTCGAATTGGTCACCTTTGGCTCGAATTATGGACTTCAAACGGCCAATGAAACCGTCACACGCTGCCCGAATGTTGCTGTGCGGTATTTTCACCCATTCCCGGCGAAGCACTTACTTCAGGTGATCGACACTTTGGTATTTTTTAGTGCCCTACCTTGCTTTCCAAAATACTCCACACACAATAGTCCAACGGATTGGTATCCGTAGAGTTTGGTCGCCATCGTGCGCTGGAAATGAAGCGAGGAACCTAATTTTGTAACCATTCTTGGGTGGCGCGTGTTGAGGTCTGCGGTAAAAATGTGTGCGTGCCCAAGACTTTAATACACCCTCCAGAATATTTTCGCGATAATATTCGGAATTTATTCTTATGCCACGGTCTATTAATACGAGCGGAGCGGCCATGTTATGGCGGCCCACACCATCACCATGTTATGGCGGCTCACACCATTGCCGGCGCTTGAGTTCTAGTGGCCAACCGAAGGTGCACATGTTCAGCTGACTTCTTTGGCAAGTAAACCGATCATTTCGTTTGTTTACAAACTGCTGGAATGTTTTCTCATCGGAGAAAACAAAATTCGCCAGTTCACCACTTTTGGCCAAGCGAAGCAACTCTTTAGCTCTTTTGAGTCTATTTTCTTTCTGTTGCGGTGTAAGTTTTGGTACTTTTTCGAATTTCAATGGCTTTACTCCGAGCTCATTTTTCAATATTTGCCGAATGGAATATTTTGCAATATGTTCAGCTCACGAACCATTTTTCGGCCACTGCGACGCGAGTTTCGATCAAGTCGCTTTTTTACTTTTCGAACCATTTCTGCTGATGTTGCTGTTTTGCTACCGTCCACTTCCTTGACGTCGGGCTACGCTACCAATATCACGGTAACGAGCGATGGTACGATACACAAAAGATTTATTCACATTTAAATGCTGGAGTGCTCTAACGATAGCCACTTGCGGTTTTCCAGCCAAATATAAAGAAATCCCACTACTACGCTTAAATTCCATCACAAATAACTTTTTTTCCGGACAATTTTCACCAAAATGCTTTTGTACGCTTGTGAACATTAAAATGAGCTGTCACTGGAAAAATTTTAACAGCTGTCGGACAAGTGGCTTAGAAATGACAGCAGTCTGAATTTGGTTGCAGTTTTTTTTTCATCTCACCGGGAGTTATAGCCGATTTTAATTTCATGGGAGCTATAGCCCATTTTAACCAAATTTGATGTTCTTGCTTCTAGACTGAATTGGGTCGGATGTGCCAAAATTCAGGTCGTTTGGACTTTTATTGGCACAATTAACCGGAAATTGGTTGAAGGTATATTGAATCTATATCTAAATCTGCTCAAACAAATATTGTTTGGAAAACAGCTATCGGACGAGTGGCTTGGAAATGGCAGCAGTCTGAAATTGGTTGCAGTTTTTTTCATCTCACCGGGAGCTATAGCCGATTTTAACCAAATTTGATATTCTTGCTTCTAGACTGAATTTAGTTGGATGTGCCATAATTCGGGTCGTTTGGACTTATATTGGCACAATTAACTCGAAATCGATTGAAGATATATGTATGGGATCGATATCTAAATCTGGCCAAACAAATATTGTTCGGAAAATTTCATCTCAATCGAATAATAAATGCCACTTGCATTTTGTTCACAAGAATACATGGACAGACGCGCTGACATGCATAAATCGTCTCAGAAAGTGATTCTATGAAGACCTTTAAAAATTTATATGGGTCAATGGCATAATAACCTTACCACTATGTGGTGTAGGGTAAAAATATGTATTGCTTTGCTCGTTTTCCTTAGTCTTCAAATTGTTGCAGAATATCTAAAAAAACCAACAACAAAAAAACTTTAACCTCCAATTATTTTATTTTATTTTTTTTTGCAGGTCAAATGAAAAAAAAAAAAAAGCTGGAAATGCCAAAAATTTGATTCCCATATCCATGAGCGGACAACCAATTAACTAAAGTACTTTTTTTTTTTGGAGGATAACACGTTTTTACGAAGTGTTTCCGGTTTGGAATAAAAATAGCAAACTCACACACACACACAAACACCCATACCCATACATTTAAGGAAAACGACAAAAGGACAAAAGTAAAAAAGACGTCAACAATTTTATTAGAGTAAGTCGAGCAGGAAGTATTAGGTCAGCTGTAACCAAGCCAAAGAAATAAAGACCAAAACAACGAAGGTTAAGCTAAAAAAAAAACAACAACAAAAAAGGAAAAAAACAAAAATCTAAAACAAAAGTCATTACCGTTAGGAGAGGATGTGATGAGGCAGAATTCAAACTAAAGTCCATGTAAGCAGTTGGAAACCAAACGAAAAGAACTGGCATTGCTTTGAAATACCAACAAAACCTGGCGGCCAACAAAAGCCGAGCACAAAGTTAACCACTAAAACGGAAGTTGCGGTCAAGTTCGCTGGATAGGCTACAACAAGTGTGATTACAGAAAATACTGCAATTTCCCAGGACCTCTGCACCACCTCCTTAAATAGCATTCAAATAACTATGTCTTTGCCTCTCCAATGGCCAATTTCAAGCTGTGTTTTCAATGTCTGAGTGAATAAAGTCGGCGTGCATTTGAAAAGCGGAATTGCCAAGCAATCCGTCCTGCGGCTGCTGCTCTCTCGTTTTGCAACTATGACAGGCCAACAAATGCATTTGCCTTGGTGGCCATTACTTTATGGCACACTGGAGGTTACCACACAGCAGGTATTGGCTGCTGTGGCAGCAACAGCAATTGAAAATGGCAGACTTCGTTGGCATCCCAGCTCCAGCCATAATTTTACAGCAACAACAGAAGTCGCCGCCAGCAACAGCATCCCAAGCAGCAAGGCCTCAAAAGTTTCAACATCATTCCAGCCATTTAATTCTAATAGCCCAGAAAAACATGTAGTTTTATCGCCACTAACACCAATGCCATCTTCCGGTGCCAACCACAATTCCTATGCCGCCCCGACGAGTGCAGCAATGTCTTCGAAAGTATTTCCAGCCACATCATCGACATCATCATTACTGGCGTCACCAGCAGCATCATCCACATCCTCGTTATTGGAACGGAGCATAAACACATTTGAGAATGTCAGTAATAGATTTTCACATTCCCCAGATGCTTTGGTGGCTGTCACGCCTGGCATGGCATTGCTGGGTAATTTTACATGGCCAGCCAGCTCCACAATGCCACTTGGCAGTGGTAACCCCCCGACATATGTGATCTCCAATATCTCCAATAGCATTGCTGACATCAGTACCACTAACTCTTCCTCCTCCACCGCCAGCTCCTTCATGAATTCCTCCCCATCCTCCTCCCCCATTGCCACAATGATGATGATATCAACCTCAACTCTGCCACCATCCGTCGACTCATATCTGATTGGTATGGCATGGCCAAAGGCATTGGTCGTTGCCATATTTATGCTGCTAATATTGGTCACTGTGGTCGGCAATACGCTGGTGATTTTATCCGTTTTGACAACACGTCGCCTGCGCACCGTCACAAATTGTTTTGTCCTTAATTTGGCCATAACCGATTGGCTGGTGGGCACCTGTGTCATGCCGCCCGCCGTCATGGTCTACATTGTGGGTGAGTAGTTACCAACTGGGTTTTTTTCTCTTCTTCTTTTGCGAAACGTTAACACTTGGCATAACCTTGATTTATATTTTCTTAGTTTTTCCTGTAATGATGTGGTTTACTTTTTTTTGGGAAATAAAGGTGTTCCGAGCACAGTGGGCGGAAAAGTGAAGAAATTTGAAACCAAGAAATTGGGAATTTTTAAAATTTTTGAAATAATAATTTTGCATTTGGAAACATTAAAATAAAATTGAAATAAGATTTAGTAATCGGGTGGTATATATTTTTTCTGTTATTTTCGAAAAAAATTCGACTGAAGTCAATATCGAATATCGGAAGGTATTATTTTATAGGAGCTACACAAAGACGTCATAGTCATATGTGCGATTACCAACACCAAATATCGAATTTGAAATAATTTCTTAATTAGTAAAAAATCGAAGGTCGGGCCGAACTTTAAATACTCTCCACCATTTGGAACGAATAAGGAAATTAGAAGAAAATAAAATCCGTTAAAAATTTTGTTAAAATCTTAAAAATACAGAATATAGCCGTTATATTGGGATCCATCCGAAGACGTGGAGGCATCTTTTGTCATAAGCCATTATAACGGGGCTATATGAAGACCTGGATCTGCATAGACAATTTTCTGTCACAGGATGTAACACCTTCAAAACAAAATTTCAAACAATTTCTGTGAATATTGTACCCAAAATCGTCGAAATTACGAATATCGGTAGGTATTGCTATATAGGGCCTATACGAAGACCGGGAACTGCATAGACAAGTTACGAACTCTAAATACAAAATTTTAAACAAATCCGGTGAATAATGTCCCTTAAATGGAATATCGGGAGGAACCGTTATATGGGGGACATACGATATCGTGGACCTATATACACAATACTCTTCCATGATTCAGAAGGAACTAATTTTGTGGATTTTTAGACAGATTCATTGAAAAATTTGGCTACAATCATCAAAATACCGAATATCGGGAGGTTCTGTTACATGTGGGCTATACGATATCGTGGATCGATATAGCTCATCTTCGAACTTGACCTGACTGCAGACAAAAGACTGGTCTGTGCAAACTTGTATTTTCCTATCTTTATCCGTTTTGACTCTAGCGTGATTATATCAGACGGGCAGACAGACGGACGGACCGGGCTAAATTGTCTTAGAATTTTACGCTGATCAAGAATATATATATACCGTGTTAGGTTTAAAATTATTATTTCGATGAGTTACATGTATTCCGGAGGGTATAAAAATACCGAATATCGGGAGGCTCAGTTTAAATGGGAGCTCTGTGAAAACATGAACCTGGAAAGATAATTTTCCGTCAGAGAAGATGTTATCCATTGTAAAGACCAAATACCAACTTTGAAATAATTTCGTTGAATAATGAGGTAAGAAAATCATAAGAATTTTTCTCTCATCAGAGGTGGTTCGTGTAGCGAACTCCAGATATCAAATCTAATCTTAAGGAATATCTTAGATTTTTAAGGAAATTTTTTTTCAAGGGGTAACAGACCATTTATCCAGGATTTTTTTACCCTTAGCCAAATACCTAGGGAGGGTATATATCATTTGATATGACATAAATGTTCTTCATAATGGTTTTATACCCTAGGTCTCTTTGGACCAAATCCATTTCAGTAGTTTGGAGTCAATCTAGGGATGTCCGTCCGTATGATAACTCTCGAAGGGAGTATCCGTTTCGACCAAACTTAGTACATTGTAATATTATTATCAACTAAGATCGAGTTCCGAGATGGGCAATATCGGCCCACTCCTTCTGGTATCTCCCCCGCAAAGGTCGGAATTTTCCAAAACATATTTTATAGCGCAGAAACAGAAAGGATCAACTGAATTTGCTCCACATTTACAAATCCTAATATTTGCATCTATGCTAGGTCAGGTGCGAAAATGGACAATATTGGTCCACTCCATCAAGTACTTTCCCCAGAAATGGTCAATATTTTGAAAAATCTTAGCCCTTTTAAAATGTGAAATAAGAATCCGATTGTCTTCAAATTACACAGATCATAATATTTTCACTAACCCAATGTGGTATATATTGGTCCACTCCTTCTGGTACCTCCCCCATAAAGGGTCAAAACTATGAAAATCCATGAGACTCATAAAACGCGAAATTAAAATCCGATTCCATTCAGACTTGGCACATCTCCATATTTTCATCAACACAAGATCTGTTATAATGATTCCTTCTGGAACCTCCCACCCAAAGGGTCAAAGTTTTGAATAACCAAAACGATTATAAAATCAGAAATAATCATCTGGTTCTCTTCATATTTCACACATCCCATTATTTCTACTAATGCAAGATCTGCTGTGAAGATGTGATACATCGGTCCACTACTTTTGGTATCGCCCCCACAAATGGTCAAAATTTTTTATATCAATGAAGCTCATAAAACGCGAAATTAACATCCGATTCCATTCAGACTTGGCAAATCTCCATATTTCCATCAACACAAGACCTGTTAATAAGATAGTAGAGATCGGACCATTCCTTCTGGTACCTCACCACAAAGCATCAATGTTTTGAATAACCAAAACGAAAAAAAAATCTGAAATAAGTATCCGATTCTCTTCATATTTCACACATCCCATTATTTCTAATAACACAAGATCTGCTGTGAAGATGTAATATATCGGTCCTCTTCTTCTGGTACCTTCCCTACAAAGGGCCAACCTTTTGAATACCCATGAAGCTCATAAAACTGAAAATTCACATCCGACTTCATTCACACTTGGTACATCTCAATATTGCTATCAAACACAGGATCTGTTATAAATATCGTAGAAATCGGACCATTTCTTCTGGTACCTCCCCCACATAGGTTTCAAGATTCTGAATTCTCTTCAAAATTTACACATACAAATATTTTTAACAACACAAAATCTATTGTGAAGATAATATATATCCGCAAACCCTTTCTGGTACCTCACCCACAAAGGGTAATAATTTGCAATGTTTTTCCGAAACCGCCTCCATATCTCTATTTTAGATACCAAGAGACTTAAATATCAAATTTTACGATTCTAGCCCTATCCCTTCACAAATAACATCAATAGTCTAAATATCAAATTTCAGAATTTTATTTATTTTCCTTCAGTAAATACCAAATATAGTACCACTTAGTATTTTTGGAACGATTTTATCCCAATACCAAAAATGGTACCATTTAGTGCTTTTCGTACAATTATAGTACACATTTTCGAAGCCACTTCCATATGTCCAGGATGCACGTCAACAGCGACCCCAATACCAAATTTCAGATTTTAAGCACTATCTGTTCACCCAATACCAAATTCTGCCAAATATGTATAGTACTATTTAATATTTTCGTGCACTTGTAGTACACATTTCCAAAATCATCTCTCTATCACAAACCTTAATCCTAAAACCAAATTTCAAAATTCCAATTTCATTCGTTCACCCCAAACGAGAAGGTTCAGTTGCATTTAGTACAGTTCGTACATATTTCCAAAACTTCAAAATTACTTTCCTATCTGAATTCTCATACCGAATTGCAAGTTTTTAGGTCTATTCGTTCACATAATACCAAATGGTACAATTTTAGAAGTTTAGTAAAATCTTAGAACTTTTCGTAAGCTTAAGGTTTGAATTTCCAAAATGTCTTTGGTACGTTCCAATTTGTACCAAATTCAGTATCATTGTGTACACATAAGTCCCACAGTAATCCCAATTTCGAATTTTTGGATTCCCACGCCCTGTTGGTTCGCCCAAAATTAAGTTGTCCTTTTTTAGCACACATAAACACGCGTTTCCAAAACAAACATACATACATATCCAAATCCAGCTCTATTGGTTTATCAAAATCCATATTTAGTACCATTTAGTACTCTTAAGTACAAATTTTCGTAACTACCTACAATATACAGTCCAACAGAAATCTTATTTCCAAATTTCAGGATTCCAACCCAAAATTTAAATTGCACCAAATTTAGTACCATTTAGTACACATAAGTACAAATTTAAAAAAACTACCTACATTCCTCAGTCCAAGAATGCAATAGTAATCTTACTCCAATTTTCAGGACACTAGCTCCATTGGTTCACCCAAATAATAATTGTGTGAAATTCTACACTAGAAGTTCCTTGTCCACATAGGTCCACGATATCGTGTAGCCCCCATATAACGGTACCCCCCGATATTCGGTATTTTGATGATTTTAGCCACATTTTTTAATGGAATTGTCTGAAAATTCTCACAAGAAGCTCCTTATGAGTACATTACTCCCTGGAAGAGAATTGTCTATATAACTCCATAAATCATATATACATAAGTTGTACTGAGTCGTACTCGGTTTGTGCCCATTTGTGCCGCTAAAATTTTTTCGAGATCCCTTACCAATTTCGAAAAAGACGACAATTTTTCTGAAAAATACTAGTTTTTTCGAAATCGTCATATCTTGAAAACGGTTAAAAATATTGAGAAAAAATAAACGGCACAAGTTAGCACAAATCAAGCACAACCCAGAACAACTCTAATTTTTTCGAAATTCGAAAATTGCAATTCTGGCATACTTTCGAAATTGTCGTTTTTTTTTTTTTAATTGATAAGAGATATGGAAAAAAATTAAAAAAATAAATAAAATACGGCTCAGCACAACTTTAAATTTTTCGAAATTCATAAATTGCAATTCTCTTAGATTTTTTCAAAAAAAAAAAATCTTTCTTCGAATATCTCAGAACTTTTTTCGAATTTCGAAAAACAATTCGACACAATTGAACACACACCTAGCACAATTCAGGACAATTTTCCTTTTTTCGAAATTCAAAAATTGCAATTCCAACGGACACCACATATCCCATTGCCTAGTTGATTCTCCGACAATAATAATATTTTCAGAACAGAAAAACTTTTCAATTTTATCACGATTTCTAGTTTTTATTGATTTTTTTTGAAAATAGGTAGGTCTAACATCGTTGAGTTGCAAATAAAAATTGTCTTAAACTCAATATCCTCCACTGTTAGTAATCGTGCCTTGGAAACTCGTCCTGTATTAGCTAAAATTTCTTTTTTTAAATACAAGATTATATTTTCAATTTCTGTTAATGACATTTTGCCAAGGTTGCACACATACACACACCCACCCACAAATATCGCAACATAACGAGAGGAAAAGGCTAATTCGGTTATTCCTTGAAAAATATATTTTTCCACGAATCCGGGCAATTTATGGGATCACCAGCCAGTCAATCTGAAACCTCTTTTGATATATTTTTCTATTAATAAAATTGATTTGAAAAAACGATGTTCTTTGTGTTTTTTTGTTGTTGTTGACTCTCCTTTTTGTTTCGTTCCAGGAAGTTGGCGTTTTGGTTGGATTTTGTGCGATATATGGATATCATTGGATGTGCTACTGTGCACGGCATCGATACTGAGTTTATGTGCCATTAGTTTGGACAGGTAGGTAAAGGGGGGAGGGGAAGGGAAAAGGGGGAGGGGAGATTAAGGGAAGATTAAGATGGACTTCTTCACATCCTCATTGTCATACTGGACCCAGAAATCATGGCTAACCCTTACCCTAAGCTAATTCCATGGCTAATGACTTGCAAGTAAAAAAGAAACTAAAAATATAACCCAACCCCCTCCCTTCCCCACCCTCTCTCCCTGTCGCCATCCTCATCACTGCATATAAATTAACTTAAGATTGACTTTCATTTTAATGAGTTTTTTTTTTGGGGGGAGGACGTCGTTTGGGTCCTGTGATAATGGCATTTTATGCTAGAATTGCTCTGTCATTAGATTCTTTGTTTATTTATACTCTCTTTTTTGCTTTGTGTAATCGCCGGTTTTGTTGTAATTTTTGTTGTTGCTTTACATTTACAGATATTTGGCCGTTACCCAGCCACTGACATATTCCAAGAATCGGCGAACAAAACGTTTGGCTCTTCTGATGATATTTATCGTTTGGGTGACAGCCCTATCCATCACCTGTCCCCCCTATTTGGGATGGTAAGTTCAGTTCATGAATCACAATCAAAGGCAACAAGTACACACAAACACACACACACCCTCACTCACATCCATAGAATAATATACATATGTAGTTATAGATGAAATGTGGAAAGAAATGAAAAATCTCATAAAATGTATATTTGTCTAATGTTCCGCACATTTTTGTGTGTGGAGGTAACAAATGTTGGCACATTTTCTTATTCGCAAAACAAGAAATGTTTTTGTTGTTGGTGTTGTTGTACAAAAAAGAAAACAATTGAAACACAATTTTGCAATGTCTGCATTTATTATTCTAACAAACACACAATCATACATACACATATAAAAATAATAATTTCTTGATATATGTGAACAGCAAGTGGATGCAGCAGTCTGCTGGGGGGGTGGGAAAGGGTAAAAAGTTTTGGGAAGCAAAATTTATTAACGAAATTTAAGTGAAATTTTGGAAGTATGTGACAAAGTCGACTATATAGGGGACACTACAGATCAGGGACAGATTCGGAGATGCCTTACAAATGCTCTTCTTTCTTCTTTTTTAAATATAGAAACAAAAAGAAAAGGAAATGGAGTCAGGGGACCCGGCCCGCATCCAGCGTATGCCTCGGCTACAGATAGAAAACTTCCTCCAGAACCTTAAGGATAGAAAATGTATCAAAGATCTTTCTTCAGATATGAAGTCATAGTTCCAACTGTAGAACTAATCTTAGTGCTAATGATGCCTGCCTCTTCCGCAGACTGCTTTCCAGTTGGTTGCGATGGCTGCGATCAACTTTGGATTGGAACAGACCACTTAAGAGCGTAAAAATATTTTAGTGAAAATTTGAAAAATAAAAATATGACAGAGTCGACTATTTTGGAGGCATTACAGAGCAGGGGTCTGACTAGCAAAAAAAAAAAAAAAAAAAAATTAAAAAAGCAGTAAGTTTGGCCGGGCCGAACTTTGAATACTCTTTACCATTTGGAACGAATTAGAAAATTTTCAAAAAAAAAAAAAAAAAAAAAAAAAACAAAAAAAAAAAACAACAAAAAAAAAAAATAAAATCCATTGAAAATTCTGTTAAAATCTTTAAAATGCCGATATATGGGGGATGGGGGGATATACGATATTGTGGACCTATATAGACAAATCTATGTCTGGGGGTAAAGTACTCACAAGGAACTCCTTGTGTGGATTTTCAGATAATTCTATTGTGAAATGTGGCTAAAATCATCAAAATCTCGAATATAGGGGGTATCGTTATATGGGGGATATACGATATTGTGGACCTATATAGAGAACACTATGTCAGGAGATAAAGTGCTCACAAAGAACCCCTTGTGTGGAATTTCAGACAATTCCATTGAAAAATGTGGCAGAAATCATCAAAATACCGAATATCGGAGTGCACTGTTATATGTAGGATATACGATATCGTGGACCTATATAGACAATTCTCTTTCAGGGGGTGAAATACTCATAAGGGCTCCTTGTGTGGAATTTCAGACCATTCCATTACAAAATGTGACTAAAATCATCAAAATACCGAATATCGATATGGGGGCTATTCGATATCGTGGACCTATATAGATAATTCTCTTTCAAGGTATAAAGTACTCACAAGGAACTCCTTGTGTAGACAGACAATTCAATTGAAAAATGAGGCTAAAATCATCAAAATACCGAATATCGGGGGGTACAGTTATATGGGGGGCTATACGATATCGTGGACCGATATAGTCAATCTTCGAACTTGACCTGCCTGCAGACAAAAGAGAGATCTGTGCAAAATTTTAGCTTCCTATCTTAATTCGTTTAGACTGTAGCGTGATTACAACAGACGGACAGACGGACGGACGGACGGACAGGGCTAAATCGTCTTAGAATGTTACGCTGATCAAGAATATAAATACTTTGTTAGAACCAACATGATTATTTCGATGAGTTATAAACGGAATGACGAACTTAATATACCCTCCATACCATGTATGGCGGTAAACAGGGAAAATAGTTCCCGTTTGTTTTAGCGACAGATGTATACCCTCAGTCTTGAGTTAGGATTATTCAAACTGTTGACTCTTTATGGCGGAGGTTCCGAAGCAGTTAGCCAATATTAATCAATTCGTATCGGACCTAAAATATAAATATTACAATGTGCCAGATTTGGACTACATCGACTACTTCCTATACTTTATATGAGATTGTTCAAATTTTTGGAAAATGTGGAAATATGCGTGAAGTAACAGATAAAGCGGACCGAAGTATTCCATTTTCATACTTCACATAAAAATCGAACATTCATATAAAATATTATGCAAAATCAAAAATTTCATATTGATCTCAGTTCTCTGATAAAGAGAAATATTTATATATTGCAAGCAGTAACGAATCGCTGATTTGTTTCGCAAGTTATGACAAATTAAATAATTGAAAATTGTGACCTTTTGTGGGTGAGGAACCAGAAGGGGGTTCGCAGGTATATATCATCTTCACAACAGATCTTGTGTTAGCAAAAATGTTTGTATGTGCGAAATTTGAAGAGAGTTGGATGCTTATTTCGCTTACTTTGAGCATATTGCTTTTCAAAATCTTGAACCCTATGTGGGGAGGTACCAGAAGAAATGATCCTATATCTACAATCTTTATAACAGATCTTGTATTGATAGAAATACTAAGATGTGCCAAGTCTTATGGAATAAATATTCAAAATGTTGACCGTTTGTGGAGGAGGTATCAGAAGGAGTGGACCGATATATCACATATTTATACCAGCTCTTGTGTTAGTAAATATATTAGTATGTGTGAAATTTGAATAGAATCGGACTCTTATTTCACATTTTATAAAAGATATAATTATTCCAAATTTTGACGCTTTGTGGGGAAGATACCAGAAGGCATGGCCCGTTCTCTACCATTTTTATAACAGATCTTGTGGGGGTGGTGCTTGATGAAGTGGACCGATATTGTTCATTTTCATACCTGACATAGCACGGACAAAAACATTGTCATGTGCAAAGTTTGAACAAAATCGAATCATCCTTTCCTGTTCTCTGAGCCAAATTATTTTCTTTGAAATTTTTGAACTTTTGTGGAGTACCAGAAGGAATGATGTTGCCTATCTCCGAACTTTATCTAAGTTTGACAACAAAATTACGATGTACCAAGTTTGGGCCAAAGCGGATACTCCCTTCGAGGGTTAACGTGCGCACCAACCAGCCAGACAGACAGGCGGACGGATATCTCTAGATTGACTCCAAATATCCTGAAACGGATTTTGTCCTAACAGACCTAGGCCGTATTAAGTGATATATACCCTCTCTAGTCATATGACTGAGGGTATAAAAAACATCCTTAAGGTCTACGGTAGATCAAAGGTTTTATATAAGCCGTAAATTCTTTGAAGAAACAATTTTAAGAAAATCATATTCAGATTAGTCTAGTCATATGACTGAGGGTATAAAAAACATCCTTAAGGTCTACGGTAGATCAAAGGTTTTATATAAGCCGTAAATTCTTTGAAGAAACAATTTTAAGAAAATCATCTTCAGATTATGTGCCTACGATAAATAAAGTTTGGATTATGTATAGAAAAGACCCCCTGAAAGTCTTACAAAGACATAAGACTTTCAAATTTGTCTTCTAAGACAGGATATAATTATAAAAATTGAGATCTTCTAGAAAAAGAAAACCGTATGAAGGTCTTCCAAGGATACAAGTCCTTAAGAAGGTTTTCTTTAGACAGAAAATCTTTCAAAGATCTTCTGGGGATAGAAGTATTTTTGAAAAACTTATAAAAATAAAAAAACTTTCCAAAGGATCTCTAAGGGGACATTTTGTGGACAGAAAAATTTTGTAAAGACAGAAGTCCTTATTAAGTTTTTTTTTTGGAAATAGAAAATCTTATGGAAGCCTTTTGTAGATATGAGACATTTTTTCCATCTTCTTTTTACAGAAGACCCTATGGAGGTTTTCTATAGACAGGTAATATTATCTTTGTCTTTCAGCAAAGATTGTGAGAAGGAATTCTTGAACGGAAGACATTTTGAAGACTTTTATGTACGTCATCACGTCTTTCTTGTTCTAGACAATATCCCGTTCTTATGTCGAAGCGTTCCATGCTCCATTTTGAAATATTATGTTTTGATCAATCAATCTCAATATTCCAGGCCGGGTTTGAGAGATATAAGCTTTTATATTAAATGTGGAAGACCGGTTGGCTAGGTTGCAGGTTTGCAGAGTGCATCCAAATGTTTGATAGCTGTTTCTGTAGATATGTTTGTATACCCTCAGCTATGTGAATTCATCGTTGGTACGGTCAAATGGAATCGAAATCGAAATAACGGTTTTCGATCCTGGGTTCTTCTGGACCAAATCCGTTTCAGGACATTTGGAGTTCATCTAGCGTGTCCGTCAGTCCGCCCATTCGTCTCTCTGGCTGGTTGGTATCCGATTCGATCCAAACTTTATGTATCGAAAGGATTTCCCATAACTCAATATTTTTGATAAAACAAGATCTGGTGTGAAGATGGCTTATGTCGCTACAATATTTCTGGTACCTCTCCCAAAAAAGGGGTGAACATTGTGAATAAATATGATCTCATAGAACGCGAAGTTAGCATCCGATCCTTTTTAGACGTGGCACATTCTAATATTTCCACCAGCACAAGATCTAGTATGGAGATGGGATACATCCGCTTCCTCATTGTCGTACCACACCCACAACGGACCAAAATTTTGAATAATTATATATCTTATTCCAATATTTTTATTAACAAAATATCTGGTGTGAAGATGGTAGATTTCGACCCGCCGCTTCTGGTATCTCCCCCGCAAAGGATCACAATTATCAGTATTTATATATTTTATAACTTGAGAAAGAAATCAGCTATTATTTTCAAACTTGGTAAATCTAAATATCTCTCTCAACCAGGGATTTGGTGTCAGGAATAATAATAAATAAGGGATCTATGTACCCACTCAACAAAAAGTTTAAATAAGTCTCACAACAACGAACACCTTCAAAGAGCATTGAAAGCTATCGAGGTAATTTAGTCAGAAGTCATTTTATGGGTCCCATTTAAATAAAATCAATCATTAAACAGATAATGCCTAGCGTAGTGTGCAACTTTTCAGGGGGGTTAACATATCACTTTCGTACGTTTTTGTTTGTTTGATTTTTATTTCTATTCCTGATTGCTATTCAGCAAAAGTCAAACAATGTTTTCTGCAATAGTTGTGGAAAAATAAAATGCACCCAGTCAGCAATTTTCGAAAAATACGATGAGGTTATGCTTCAGTTGGCATCGCTAAAATAAAGTGGTTTTGGTTTCAATATTAATTTTAGATGGCTAAAAACTTTTGTTAAAATCAAATTCAATTTAAAATATTTTGGGAAAGGTCAAAATAATTATGGATTTTTAGAAAAAAGGGGAAGATATACAGGGTGAGATGAAAAAAACTGCAACCCGCTTCTGACTGCTGCTAGCTTATTATATTGTTTACAAGCCTACAAAAGCATTTTGGTGAGAATTTTCCAGAAAAAAAGTTATTCGTGATTGAATTCAAGCGCGATAGTGCGATTGAGGCGCTGGGAAAATGTAGCAATAAAAAATAAATATTTTAAAATTAAATATTTCCCAGCCGCCATAAAATATCACATGTGAAGAATTCTGTGATCTTGTGACGCATACCATAATGTGAGAGATAATAAAGGTTATGACCCACACCCACATATATCGATGCGCTCAGTAGATTCACAAGACCACTTGAATAAGATGTCAAGCAGCCCTGCAAAATTTGGCAAAGATATTTCTGAGCTGTATTTGATATATTTCCCTGAATATCGTTGTTACGGAGTGCATATTATGGCTGTGGGTAACAAATACAACAAATCGGATGAACAATATATATGGGAGCTATAGCTATATCTGAAGCGATTTAGATAAAATTTGGCGTACTAGCTTCTAGACTCAATTCGGTCGTATGTGCCAAATTTCATTAAATTTGGGCAATATTATACGTTTGGTGCACAATAAAAGGTAAATCGGATGAAGTTATATATGGGAGCTATATATTTCTGAGCTGCATTTGATATATTTCCCCAAATATTGTTGTTACAGAGTGCATATTACGGCTGCGGAGGACCAAAATAACAAATCGGATGAACAATATATATGGGAGCTATAGTTATATCTGAACCGATTTCGATAAAATTTGGCTTACTTACTTTCAGGCCTAATTTGGTTGTATGTGCAAAATTCCATACTATTCGGGCTGATATTACACGTTTGGTGCACAATAAAAGGCAAATCGGACGAAGATATATGTGTGAGCTATATATAAATTTTTACCGATTATTTCCAATTTCAATAGGGTTCGTCCTTGGGCCAAACAAATGATTTGTGCAAAATTTCATCTTAATCGGATAATAAATGCGACCTGCATTTTGTTCACAAGAATACATGGACAGACGGACGTTTCTCCCCCACAAAGGGTCGACATTTTGAATATCCATGAAGCGCGAAATTAACATCCGATTACATTTAGACTTGGTACACCTGAATATTTCAATCAACACAAGATTTCGTATAAAGATGGTAGAGATCGGACAATTTCTTCTGGTACTTCCCCCCAAAGGGTGAATGTTCTGAAAAACCAAAACGATTATAGGATCCGAAATAAACATCCGGTTCTCTTCATAGTTCACACATTCCATTATTTTTACTAATATCAGTTATGGTGTGAGGATGAGATATATCGGTCCACTCCTTCTGGTACCTCCACCACAAAGGGTTCACAAATTTGAAAAACAAAACGCTCGTAAAACGCGATATGAGCATTCAACTCTCTTCAAATTTCACACATCCAAGCATTTTTACTACCCCAAAATCTGTTGTGAAGATGATAGATATCTACCAACCCGTTCTGGTACCTAAACCACAAAGGATCACAATTTCCAATACTTATATCTGTCATAGCTTGCGAAACGAAGTCGGCGATTCTGTAGAATTTGATATATCTAACTATTTCCCTTAGCCAGAAATCTGATATAAATAAGTAATTGATAAAATTGGACAATATTGGCCAAATGCTTCGGAACCTCCCCCATAAAGGGTCAACAGCTCGAATAATCACAACTCAAGGCTGGGGGGTATACATCTGTCGGCGAAACCGACCGATGCTATTTAACTTGTTACTTTTAAATCTATTGAATATTTCAACGTTTTTTTGGTACCCCTTGAGGCACTGTCCTCCAACTTCCCAAAAAAGGAGATACATTTTCAATTTTCTTAGAGTTATCACATTTCATTGGGTTATAAAAAAGACTTCTGGATGCTCTTTTACACTCTTCAATTTTATTAAATTAACATCCTTTCATACTTTTTATATTCCTTTCCTCTCTCTCTTTTACAGGTATGAACCTGGACGGCGCGTAGATGGCAACACTGTCTGTCGCTACAATCAAAATAAAGGATATGTGGTATTTTCGGCAATGGGTTCATTTTTTATACCTCTGGCTGTGATGCTGTATGTCTATCTGAAAATTGGTTATGTCCTGACATCCCGTCGTCAAAGGATTGTTAGAGATGCGGTAAGTTTTGTTGCGCCCCCAAACAAAAGTTGGTTTTTTAAATCCGTAATGATGGAATGAGGTAAAGGAGGGGGAGGGGGGTGTGTGACCCTTATTACCAACATATGCATGTATATGTGAACATACAATAATATTTCTTTATATGACATGTCTTATCCTCTGCCGCTCTTTGTAGTTGTTCCTTTTTGGAAAACTGAGTGGCTGAATGTTGTTGCTCTTGCCACGATTGTCGCTGGTGCCTCTGCTGTGGCAGTAAATATCATTAGTGGCCCTATTAATTTTACGAGTAAATAAAAAAAATATTATTACGTACGGAACGTTTTTTAATAGTGTGCTAATATTTTTCTGTACGTGTGCGAGAGTGCCATGCAAGGTGTGAGTGTGTGTGTGTGTGTGCATGGGTGTGGGTGGATGTTGGAATTTGTAGTTTGGTTCCGGCTCTAGGTGTGAGACAATATAACAAAATTTATGTGGTATAAATTGGAAAATGTTGCTTGGCAATAAAATTTACGACAGTAACATATTTTCACATCTGAACGGTAAAGTGGGGGGAGAGGAGAGGAAAGGTAGCCATTTGATGATTAAATTTGAAATTAGTTTTCGGGGTTTCCGTTGTGTGCAGCAAAAAAAGGGATGAGGTATTAGATTAAAAATGAAATATAAAAGTTGTGTGTGTAATAAAGATTAGATTAATCAAGCCCTTGTTCTCCATGAGATCAAATGGCTAAGCGTTTAAGGTAGAAAGAGGTTAGTTTGACAAATAAAACAATTAATAATATTGTTTAATAAAATATCGGAAAACAGGAAAGAAATTAAGAATTCAATAAAAAGCGACGAAAAAAATTAATGAAAACAAGTTGAAGGTATCAGTCGGTCTTGCCGATATATGTATATTCTCAACCAATGTCCCTTTTTTAAATATATTTTTACTTGCGTTAGGATTATTCAAACTATTGACCATTTATGGGGCGGGTTCCGCAGGAGGTGGTCAATGTTGTCCATTTCGTATCCCATATAGGTCTGATATAAATATTGCAATGTGAAAGATTTGGACTATATCGACTACTTCCTTCACTTTATTTAAGATCGGTGATAATTTTTGGAAAATGTTAAAATGTTGATGCAGATGCAGTAGGCTCAAGTATACCATTTCATCTAATACTGATAAAAATATTGAACTTTTATTTTTAATTTTATTCGAAATTTTTTTTTATCAAAATTTGAACCTTTTGTGGGGAAAGGTACCAACAGGAGTAGATCAATAAATTTTTATTATATTCATATCAAATCTTTGGCTAAGGGAAATATTTACATATACCAAGTTTGAACAGATTCGACGACCTTTTCACCAGTTATGAGGGATACAAATATTGAAAATTGCACCCCTTTTGTAGGGGAAGTACCAGAAGCATCCCTTTTGTACGGGAGGTACCAGAAGGAATCGACCGATATCTACCATCTTCACACTAAATCTTTTTTTAAAGAAATACTAAGAAGTGAATCGTATGAATATTTTACATTTTGGGAGAGTTATAATTATTCATAATTCTGACCCCTTTGTTGGGGGTGGGGGGGGGGGGTACCAGAAGGAGTGAGCCGATATCTATCATCTTCTTACCAGATCTTGTGTTAGTAGAAATATGGGAATTTGCGAAGTTCGGATGGAAATTTTGCATTTTATGGGTATTTTTGTTATTCATAATTTTAACCCCTTTGTGTTGGGGAGGTACCAGGAAGAGTTGTTCGTTATCTTCCAATTACACCTCAAATCTTCTGTTGATAGAAATATTGGGATATGTGGAATTCGAAGTGAATCGGATGAATATTTTGCATTTTATGAGGGTTAAAATTATTCACAAATTTAAACCCTTTGTGGGGGAGGTACCAGAAGGAGTGAGCAGATATCTATCATCTTCATACCAGATCTTATGTTAGTAGAAATATTGGAATTTGCGAAGAAATATTGGAATTTTAGGAATAATCGTAAAGGAAATTTCGCCTTTTTGGGCATTTTTGATTTTTCCCCTTTTGTGGGGGAGTTGTCCGATATGTTCCATCTACACACCAGATTTTTTGTTGGTAGAAATGTTGGAATATGTGAAATTAAAAGTGAACGAGATGAATGTCTCACTTTTTATGAGAGTTATAATTATTTGTAATTTTGACCTCTTTGTGGGGGAGGTACCAGAAGGTGTGGTTCGATTTCTACCACCTTCACAGCAGAAGTTGTGTTAGTAAAAATATTGATATATGACGAGCATGAAAGTATACGGATGCTATTTTCACATTTTACGAGCTTCATGGTTATTCAAAATGTTGACCTTTTTGTGGGGGAGGTAGCAGAAGGGGTGGACCGATATGTCTCATCTTTATAGCAGAGCTTGTGTTGATATTGAGATTATCTTAATTTGAAAGGAATAGGATGTTTATTTTGCATTGTATGGGCATTTTTTATATTCAAAATTTTGTCCCATTTGTGGGGGAGGTATCAGAAAGAGTGGGCCGATTTCTACCATCATTACAGAAAATGTTGTGTTAGTAAAAATATTGGGATGTGCCTGGTATGAAAGTAATCGGATGCTCTTTTCGCATTTTATTAACATTTTTTCTATTCAAAATGTTAACCCCTTTGTGGGAGAAGTACCAGAAGGAGTGGTCTGATATCTGCCATCTTCTCACTAGATCTTGAGGCGATAGAAATATTGAGATGTGCCTAGTATGAAAGCAATCAGATGCTTATTTCGCATTTAATGAGCATTTTGATTATTCAAAATGTTGACCCCTTTGTGGGGGAGGTACCAGAAGGAGATGTCCGTTCTAATCGTCCTTCATAGAGAATCGTGTGTTGATAGGAATATTGAGTTTTTCCACGTTTTAAGACAATCGAACTCTTATTTCACATTTTTGAGAGTTCTAAATATTCAAAATTGAGAGAGGTATTTGAGGGGTGGATCGATATTGTCCATTTTTAGGATATAAGGATTTTCAAATTTTGAAAAAAATTTGTTTATCCTTTTTTGTTCTATAAGGTAAAGAAGTAGTAGACCGATATTGCCCATTACCGAACTCGATCTAAGTTTGATAATAATATTTCGATGTACCATGTTTGGATCAAATTGAATACCCCCTTCGAGAGTTATCATGTGCACCAATAAGTCTGACAGAAGGACGGATGGACATTGCTAGATAGTTCTAGGGTCTAAAATCGTTATTTCGGCGAGACACGTTTTGCCCCTATCAAATGGTATATAGCCACATGACTAGGGATAGCCACATGACTAGGGATATAAAAAATCATGGCAATCCAAGTTGATTGATCTGATGGTTTTTGAAAAATACTCTTAAAAAATCCAGGACTATTGGCCTTTTTGTTTTTGAAAAATACTCTATAAAAATCCAGGATTATTGACCTTTTGGACCTTAAAAAATACTCTTTAAAAGTCCAGGATTATTGGCCTTTTGGACCCTGAAAAATACTCTTTAAAAATCCAGAATTATTGGTCTTTTGGTCCTTGAAATATACTCTTTAAAAATCAAGGATAATTGGTCTTTTAGTCCTTAAAAAATACCCTTTAAAAATCTAGGATTATTGGCATTTTGGTCTTTGAAAAATACTCTTCAAAAATCCAGGATAATTGGTCTATCGGTCCTTCGAAAGTACTTTTTAGAAATCCAGGAATATTGTCCTTTTGGTCATTGAAAAATACTCTTTAAAAATCGAAGTTTATTTGTCTTTGGGCCTTTAAAACCTCTTATTTATTGGTTTACAGGTCTCTGAAGAATATTCTTTAAAAATATTCCTTAAAAATCCACGTTCATTTGTCTTTGGGTCCCTGAAAATATTCCTTAAAAAATCCACGTTCAGTTGTCTTTGGGTTCGTGAAAATGAATTCTTTAAAAATCCACGTTTAAAAAAATATGCCTTAAGAAAATCCACGTTTGATGGGTCCTTGGAAAAGTATTTGCCTGATGATCCTTGAAAAATACTCTTTAAGAAAATCCACGTTTGATGGGTCCTTGGAAAAGTTCTTGCCTGATGATCCTTGAAAAATATTCTTTAAAAAATCCAGGCTCTCGAAAAATATTCTTTAAAAAATCCACGCTTTAAAGGCTCTCGAAAAATATTCTTTAAAAAATCCACGCTTTAAAGGCTCTCGAAAAATATTCTTTAAAAAATCCACGCTTTAAAGGCTCTCGAAAAATATTCTTTAAAAAATCCACGCTTTAAAGGCTCTCGAAAAATATTCTTTAAAAAATCCACGCTTTAAAGGCTCTCGAAAAATATCCTTTAAAAAGTCCACGCTTTAAAGGCTCTCGAAAAATATCCTTTAAAAAATCCACGCTTGAAGGTTCTCGAAAAAAAAAATATTATTTCAAAAATCCACGCCTTAAAGGTTCTCGAATAATATCCTTTAAAAACCTCCACGCTTGATAGGTCTTCAGAAAAATATTCTTTAAAAAAATCAACGCTTGATGGGTGCTTGAAAAATATTCTTTAAAAAATCCACGCTTTAAAGGTCCTTGAAAAAAATATTCTTTAAAAAAATCCACGCTTGATGGGTTCTTGAAAAATATTCTTTAACAAAATCCACGCTATAAAGGTCCTTTAAAATATGCTTAAAAAATCCCCACTTGATGAGTCCTTAAAAATCCAAGTTTGCTAGGTTCTTGAAATAATATTCTTTAAAAAATCCCGTTTTAATCAAATATTTTCTCTCCATTCTTCTCTGTTCCAGAATTCCGAACGAACCGCCGACCATGATATCGACTGTGATAATTTCCTCTCCGAATCGGAACATTTTCAATGTGGACCCCAGAAGTTCCCCTCTTTCAAAACACGTTGGACCGTAGAGCCTACCACCAATGGCAGTTCGTCGAACAGCAAACAGAACAGTTTGAAATGTAGTAAATGCAACAAAAACTATGTGCATCGGGACAGCCTGAAGCATCAGGCTTCCTTTTATGAGCTGGTTGAGATATCACGCCTATCATCGCAAATACCCTGTACCTCGATCAATTGTAAATATGGTGATGGCAGTTGTACACCGGCTAACAGTACGGTGAGTTATGCTTTGGCCGAGGGTCGGGCAGCCACATTGCCAATGCAGCAGCTGCATTGCAGCGACAGCCGGTCATCATTTTCCGAGACATGTTTGGCCCATGCCATGGCCCAGTCGGGGAAATATGCCATGTCAAATGGTCAGCTGCAGCAGGAGAAACCACAACAGGGATCAGTGAATGGTCATGGTCAACATCATCAGCAGCACCACCATCATCATCATCACCACCACCATCATCATCATCGGGTACCGATGAGAGTTTCCACAACGAAACGTGACACGAAAACGGCTAAAACCCTTACCATGGTTATGGGCGGTTTCATTGCCTGTTGGCTGCCATTCTTTATCTATTATCTGCTGATACCGTTCCTGCCAGCCTCCTATGTCTTGGAGTGGCTCATGTCATTCCTGACCTGGGTCGGTTGGGTAAACTGTGCCATCAATCCGTTCATCTATGCCTTTTACAATCCCGACTTCCGCACAGCCTTTTGGCGTTTAACATGCAAACGGATCTGCAAACAAAAGCCACCGCCCAATCATGTGGCCATATTTCGTGGATAAAGTTGTTGCCCCACTCCGTCGGTGTGTGTGTGTGGCTGTGTGCTGCACATATGGCCTCTGTTTAGCAAAATACCGGAAATTTCAACTTGCAATGGAAATTTTGAAGAAGGTGCAACAACGGGTAACGGGAAATGGTCGTTTTGGTTGGACTAAGTTTCCTTCAGAGTTTCGAAGAGCCAACCGACCAACTGGCAATGTAATCAAATTTAAAGCACACACACTCACCGGAAATAAAGAGAGGAGAGCCAAGTATCACCATGACACACTTCCATATATTTTTGTGTGTTTTTGTTGCAGTTTTCCACAAACAATGCCAAATGCATAAAATATGAGACACACACACAAGTGAATGAAAAATTGCCTCTGTGACCATAACCTAAAGAACAGCTCCAGACATGAGATATTGAGATTGGAAATTCCACAACATTTATGTATAGTTTGAAATTAGTATTGATGCCTGTTTTTGTATATTTTGAATAGTTTTTTTAAGAGTTCTCTTTGAATAAGTTTTGTAATCCCTCTCTGTATTTATTTGTAGTTATTGTAAAATTTAGTAACTTTATTTGTTAGAATATTTTTTGTTAAGTGTACAATAGCGTGTAATTTTTAAGAAAATTTAAATTTAAAAAATAAATTTAATATTTATTATGAACATTTCATTTGTATATTCCTCGAAGACTTTTTTGAGGTGATAGAAGAATTGTAGAAAACACTCTTGAAAAATCCAGGATCATTAACCTATTGTTTAATAAAAACACTCTTGAAAAATCCTGGAATATTGCCCTTGGTCTATAGGTCCATAAACATTTTTCTTTAAAAAATCAACGTTTTTGGTCTAAAGGTCCATGAAAAAATAATCTTTAAAAAATCCAATCCTAAAGGTCCATGAAAATATATTCTTTAAGAAATCGACGTTTTTGGTCTAAAGGTCCATAAAAAATATTCTTTAAAATATCCAATCCTAAAGGTCCATGAAAAAATATTCTTTAAAAAATCCACGTGTAAAGGTCCATGAAAATATATTCTTTAAAAATCGACGTTTTTGGTCTAAAGGTCCATAAAAAAATATTCTTTAAAAAATCCACTTTTTTGGTCTAAAGGTCCATGAAAAAATATTCTTTAAAAATTCACGCTTTTGGTCTTAAGGTCCATGAAAAAATATTCTTTAAAAAACCAACGTTTTTGGTCTAAAGGTCCATGAAAAAATATTCTTTAAAAAATCCCATCCTAAAGGTCCATGAAAAAATATTCTTTAAAAAATCCACGTCTAAAGGTCCATGAAAATATATTCTTTAAAAAATCGACGTTTTTGGTCTAAAGGTCCATAAAAAATATTCTTTAAAAAATCCACTTTTTTGGTCTAAAGGTCCATGAAAAAATGTTCTTTAAAAATTCACGCTTTTGGTCTAAAGGTCCATGAAAAAATATTCTTTAAAAATTCACGTTTATTGGTCTAAAGGTCCTTGAAAATATATATTCTTTAAAAAATTCACATTTATTGGTCTAAAGGTCCTTGAAAAATTATTCTTTAAAAAATCTACGTTTATTGGTCTGAAGGTCCTTGAAAAAATATTTTTAAAAAATCAACGTGTGATGTGTCCTTAATTTTTTTTTAAATCAACGTGTGATGTGTCCTTGATTTTTTTTTTAAATCCTCGTTTATTGGTCTGAAGATCCTTGAAAAAATATATTTTAAAAATCTACGTTTATTGGTCCGAAGGTCCTTGAAAAAATATTTTTTAAAAATCCACGTTTATTGATCCGAAGGTCCTTGAAAAAATATTTTTTGAAAATCCACATTTTTTGGTCTGAAGGTCCTTGAAAAAATATTCGTTAAAAATCCACGTTTAATGGGTCGTTGAAAAAATATTTTTTTAAAAACCCAAGTAAATTGGTCTTAAGGTCCTTGAAAAAATATTAATTAAAAAATCCAAGTTATTTGTCGGAAGGTCCTTGAAAAAATATTCTTTTAAAATCTACGTTTTTGGTCTAAAGGTCCTTGAAAAAATATTCTTTAAAAAATCCACGTTTATTGGCCTAAAGGTCCTTGAAAAATGTTCTTTAAAAAATCCACGTTTATTGGTCTGAAGATCCTTGAAAAAATATATTTTAAAATCCACGTTTATTGGTCTGAAGATCCTAGAAAAAATATATTTTAAAATCCACGTTTATTGGTCTGAAGTTTCTTTAAAAAATCAACGAGTGATGTGTCCTTGAAAATTATTTTTTTTAATCCACGTTTATTGGTCTGAAGGTCCCTAAAAAAATATTCCTTAAAAAATCAACAAGAGATGTGTCCTTGAATTTTTTTTAATCCACGTTAATTAGTCTGAAGGTCCTTGATTTTTTTTTGAAATCCACGTTATTTGGAGGTCCTTAAATTTTTTTTTTTAATCCACGTTTATTGGTCTGAAGGTCGTTGAAAAAATATTCTTTAAAAACCACGTAAATTGGTCTTAAGGTCCTTAAAAAAATATTTTTGAAAAAATATTCTTTAAAAAATCCAAGTTATATGTCCAAAGCTCTTTGAAAAAATATGTTTTCAAAGTCCTCGTTTAGTGGTCTATAGGTTCTAGAGGAAATAATTTTAAAAATCCACGTCTGAAGGTCCTTGAGAAAATATTTTTTAAATATACAAATTTATTTTTCTGAAGGTCCTTAAAAATATTTCTGAAAGAAATTTAAAGAAAATTGTTTAACCTTCATTTCGCTTTCTAAAATATATCCCACACTTATGTTTAAAATGTCAAATGTCGGAAATAGCATCAAATTTTCCTGACGATGCGCTTGCTTAAGGTTATTGACACTTTTGTTTTTTTTTTTGTGCCAACCTTGCTTTCCAAAATACTCCAGAGACACAATAGTTCAACGGATTGGTATCCGGAGATTTAGGTGGCCATTGTGCACTGGAAATGAACCGAGGAACCTCATTTTGTAACCATTCTTGGGTGGCGCGTGCTGAGTGCGATGGTGCTGAGTCCTGTTGGAATGTCCTCTTTTAGCTCTTTTGAGTCTATTTTCTTTCTGTTGCGGTGTAAGGTGTTGCACTTTTTGGAATTTCAATGGCTTTACCTCATTTTTCAATATTTGCCCAATAGAATATTGCGATATGTTCAGCTCACAAGCCATTTTTTGGCCACTGCGACGCGAAGGCTTCTTTACTTTTCGAACTATTTCTGCTAATGTTGCTGTTTTCTTCCGTCCACTTCCTTGGCGTCGGGCTACGCTACCACAGTATCACGGTAACGAGCGATGGTATGAGACATAACAAAATTATTCACATTTAAATGCCGGAATGCTCCAACGATAGCCGCTTGTGGTTTTCCAGTTAAATATAAAGAAATGACACTATCACGCTTGAATTCCATCACGAATAACTTTTTTTCTGGAAAATTCTCACCAAAATGCTTTCGTTTTCTTGTAATGAGCTGTCACTGGAATAATTTTAACAGCTGTCGGACGGGTGGTGTAGAAATGACAACAGTCTGAAATTGATTGCAGTTTTTCCATCTCACCCTGTACATCTGTCTTTGGATGCTCATCTACACCTTCATAAGATATTTATAGTCTTTAAAAGTTCACCAGAAGATGTCTTCACAGTTGAAAGCCTTTACAAAGACCTTTAGAATGTGTCCTGTTTATAAGGAGATTCTATTCAGTAGGTCTTCTGTTCATAAATGACAGTTAAGAGACCTCCTGTTTTAGAGACTAAAACAAAGTTTTTCTATCCACTAAAACTTTGCTCTGGTCAATGGAAATCCTTCTGAATGTCTCTTGTCCTAGAACAGAAGAAATTTGCACTCTGTCTGCAGTAAATATTCAGAACGTCTTTAGAAGACGGTTTCTAATATATTGAAGACTTTTTGAAAGCCTTCAAAACCTCTAGTCTATAGAAGTCACTCAGAGGTTTTCCCGCCTTGTAAAGAACATCCAAATATTTCCTGTCTAGAAAATATTGTTGGAAGTTTCTCTGTCTGAACAAATCATCCAGTATGGCTTTTGCCTCTAGAAGGCATTTAGAATTCTTACAATGCCTCATATCTCTATAGAAATCTTTCAACAGTTTTCCTGTGCATAGAAGATCTTTGGAAGGTCCCAGCCTATAGAGCCCCTTCATATAACTCTGTTTAAAGAATGCCTTCAAAGGCCCTGTTAAAGAAACTTCAGTAGATGATCTGCGACATTTCGGTACTTCAATGGTTTATAATATACCATAGAGGAATTCTGTCTATTGAAGACATAGAAAGTATTCTCTGTATAATCTTAAGAAATTCTTCTGACTTTTGAAGATATTCAGATAGGAAGACGGATAATATATTTTTATCAGAATATCAGAGTAGATATTCTGTCGTCGGTTAATATTAGACCTTAAAATGGCCTTCTTCCTATAGAATGCCTCTAAATAGTTGTTACTCTAAAGAGGACTTTCAGGGGAGTTCTTAGGGACCTTTAAACAAATTCCTCAAAAATGTAATTTTCATTTCTTACTTTTATTAGTAGACCCGGAGAAGGTGTTGACTTTCTTTCATAGAAAGATCCTAGGGATTTTTAAGAATTGCAGAATTTTTTCAATAAAATACACATTCGACTTTTTATCGTATATTGAAGGACTATCCTGAGAAAATATGAAGTTTTTCCCATAGGAGAACTGACTATCTAATGGCTGTCTATAGAGGAGATTTTATGTGGAATTCTGTGAAAATCTTCTGACTATAAAAAGTGTACAGAATTTTATTAATATAAAATCGGAATATCTCCATGAGGCCTTCTACATTAAGAAGTCCTTTAAAAACTGCTCTGTCTAAAAAAGAAAAACCCCTACCACTTTTGATTAGAGAATACACTTGTATTTGTAGTTAAAAATGGGAGTTATTCAAGTATTGAATCTCGAAACTTGTATTTTTAAACACCGAATCATGACACTGCCGGTATTGATTCATGTACATTTAAAGGTCTTCTATTAAATTCTTCAACCCAACACTTTTTGAATATTCTCCACGGCATAGAATTTATGCAGAAAATACAAAAACCAGAAACCTCATAGACAGTAGCAGTAGCCCAATACGTTTTAGCGCATCAATTGCAAAAGAAATTGAATAAAAGCCACCAAGAAGAGATGCTCAAAAATCAGGAGTATACAGAGTAACAAAAAAGTAGCAACGAAAGCAACCTGTCCTGACGTATGGCCTGGTTTAGTCATGGCGGTTTTAATTTGATAACCGCATTTGTTGCATATCCTGGTTGGTTGACAAACTGACTGACACAATGGCTACAAGGATGTATGTCTTGTTGCTTAGTTGGCTGTTTGACTGTCTAGGTCAGATGGCTTTCCTTCCATTTGCCACAAGTCTAGAGTAAAATCAAAGGAGAGAAGAACTGAAAATTTTACAAAACTAAAATCTGCATATCACCGGAAAAGGCTGAGTGGAAATCCCATTAGCATTAGCCGGTGTTCAATGCAATCGCTTTGACGAACCGGAAAATGCATTTCCGATTACATTTTAATCGAAAGTGCAGGATTGGTGTGGGGAGGAGGGTAATATAAAAA